GGGTCTGCGGCGGGCGCGCCCCGCGGGACGGGCGACCGCTAGCGCCCGGCGACCTGCGCGGGCGGGGCGGCGTCGGCGGACACTAGCTGCTGCCGCGGCCGGGCGGCGTGGCGTCAGCTCCTTCGTCATCTCCGTCATTCTGCTCCCGCGTTCGAGGGGCCCCGGGAGACCCGGCCCGGGCGCCCCCTAGGCGTTCCACGGGTGGGTGGGCGGCCTCCGAGTGCGACCAGGGCTCGGGAAGCGCGCGCCGCTCTCCGGGGCCGCGGCGGGTGGCCTCTGCCGGCCGGAGAGGGAGCGTGGTCCGCAGAGAGCGGGCGGGAGGGCGGGAAACCTGCCCTGACGGAGGGGACCCCAGTGTGGACAGGCGTCGCCGCCGCGGGGACTGCGCCGGAGGGGGTTCCTGCTGGCCAAGGCGGGTGCTCAGCGCGGAGGGACCGGTGGAGGCCCGGCCGTGGGGTGTGAACCCGCGCCCCGGTGGCTCCCGAGTGACTTAGTTTTGAACCCAACTGGATTTTTAGTGATAGACCACTGTTAATCGCTGTGAGATTCCCCTGTGAATTCTGTTCCAGCGGATGGCCTGCCCCGTGCTTTTTCCCAAGAGGTTTATAAATAGCGTGTCAATGTATGATACAACAGGACCGACTGTGAACTTTATAAACCTTTGGACGAGAGGTTTATAAATAAAAGGTTGTAGAGAAAGCAGTGTCAGATAATGGTTTCTGCTTCGAGATTGCTTTCAGCTTCAAAACAAATCGGTCGGAGTTGGGAAGCAAACCCCGGGTGTGTAATTCAATACTAATCTTTTGAGGGTTAAACTGGTATTGCCCTTTTACTTATTTTTTCCTACCGTACAATAGCAAGGCTTAATGGCAGGAAAATAACTATAAACTGGATTCCCTCTGCCTTCCAGTAAATGTTGTCACAGTGAAGTTGCTCAGTCTGTGGGCAGCATTCTTTTTTTTTTTTTTTTTTTTTTTTTTTTAAATCGTGATCACATTTCAGCCAACCAGATGCAGGGTCAGATTATGAAAAGACAACATAGGTATTTCCTGTGGGTCCATTTAAAACAGGTGTCCTCTCCAAATAGTCTCTGAGTCACAGAACATGGAATTGGGGCGCAGGGAAAGAAGAGTGTTAGAGATAAAGTAGCAACTCATGAATGTTTTCCTGAATTTTTCCAATCAAACTCTAAACCAAAATAGAGAAACCTGGTAGGTTGTTTTTTTTTTAATTGTCCTTATGATTATGCTAACAAGAAACTGATGTCACAAAAATCAAGGTAATTCCAAGAAGATTCTACCAGCATAAAACTGTTCATTATGGACAATTTGTAGTTTTATGTCTATGTAAAAGTTGGGTCTATTTCGTTTTAGTTGTCATGTTCATAAGATGGCAAAATCAAAAAGTGGATCCACTGAAGATCTTACCAAGTCCTTTGTAAAGTTTTACAAGTTAATATGATATTCCAAAAGCTTGATATACCCTTCCTACTGTGCATTTTAGAAAACTATTAATAAGATTCTCATCCCCATCATTACAAAATATAACATTTTCATAAAGCCATTTAAGATTTAATTCTATGGTCAGTTTCTTTTTCAGTAAGTAATGATAACACTTCAATTTTTGAACCTATTCTAATGGGTTTGCTTTTGCTATTTTGGATTTACTAATCATTATTAGATAGTTTTTCATTTTTTTTTAATGAAACATCTGCATAAACATTTACTCAAGTATTTTATGAGAGTGTCAGTGCACAAGTTTTGGAACTTCTTATTAACTATTAGCATATTCAGGTTGTTATTTTAACTCTTTTATACCGTATTTAATAATCTTAGTTATGTTTTAAAGGTATCCTTTGTGGGGCGCCTGGGCGGCTCAATTGGTTAAGCGTCCGACTTCTGCCCAGGTCATGATCTCACGGTCCTTGAGTTTGACCTGTCTGTGCTGACAGCTCAGAGCCTGGAACCTGCTTCAGATTCTGTGTCTCCCTCTCTCTCTGCCCCTCCCCTGCTTGCACTCTGTCTCTCTGTCTCCCAAGAAATAAATAAATACAAAAAAAAAAAAAATTAAAGGTATTCTTTGTGAGGAAAATTTACACACAGATTGTGTTTTTACAGTGTAAATAATACAATGGGGTATTGCTCTTAAAAGTTCACTCAATAAAGGAAATCCCTTTTTATGAACTGTAGTACCATTATTCATTGATAAGTTTTAAATGGTGATTCTGTGTTTGAATTAGAGAATACTGTTTTTCATTGTATAGAAGAAATACCTGCATGTCACTTGTTTAGCCTTTTAATTTTACCACACAATTAGTAGTGATGAAGGAGAATAGCTTTATCCAGTTGAGTTGCACAAAAACATGTTTCCCAAGGGAACATTTCAAGACCCTGTGTTAATTTCTAGTTACCTTAGTGTTGTTCCTTGATTATTGTAATGGACTTTTAGTCTATACTGTATGGGCTGGAGATACTCTTCCTTAAGAACTTGTAAAAACTGGTACAGACTCTTCATTCTTTTTTTAAATTTTTTTGGAAGGAGAGGGGTTTGACATATTGGTGATGATAATCCTTGCTAATCTTGGAAATGACAGGGACCCCTGCCCTGTGTCTCCATTATGTTGTATTCCAAGTAGCCAACTTCACATAGCTGTGAGTCTTTGCTTAAAACTTCAGGAGGAAGGATTGTATACATGCATATCCTTATAATAGTCAATGTTTATGCATTTCCTTGGGTTCCGTGTTTGCATTAGATAAGCATTTCCCAACAATATCAGTATACTTGAGAAAATCCTTTTTCCCCTTTCGTATTTGTCTGCACCCAAGGGTAGAAGTTGGGATGTGTTTCTTGGGCATGGGGATAAAAAACCTCCTTGGCTTTGTAGACGAGACACCTTTGGGTTGCTTATTTTTTCCTCATTATAAGAGTAGCATAGGTATGATATTAAAAGAGGAAAATTAAAAAATAAATTACCCCTCCTCTCATCAACCAGAGACAACACTGCAAACATTTCAGCACATAGCTGCCAATCTTTCTGCAATACATCCTTAGCTACTTGTGACATACTATGTAACACTTTGCGTTGCACGGACTTTTATTTCATACGAATATTCTCTTACTATTTAAAACTCCTTGTAAAATCATGCTTAATAAGCTCGCATAGCATAACATAATAGGAACATATCAAATTTTTTAAAACTTTTGTCTGGTTTTGGATATTTAGGTTGTTTCCAGTTTTTTGGGTTTTTTTGTCACTATAAATACAGTGTAACATCTGCATTTTGAATTGAGAAAGTCACTTTTTAATGATTATTTACAGCTCAAAACCACTTAAGAAACCACCCTTTTCTAATCTAATGTGTATGTTTCTTTACGCGTGTTCATATGAACTGAGGTGCAAAGGAGCGTTCTTTTGCCCTAGAGGGCAGTTGGGAAAGATTAAGATCTAAGTAAAAGGAGTAAGTAAAAAATCATTCTTTTTCCAACAATTGATGCTCACTGTAGATTTTTAAAATTACCTTAGATATGAAATCCAGTGCCAATGCGTTTCATTGGTCAGATTTTTTTGCCTTTAACCAGGAAAAGTTGTTACTTACACGTTAAATGAGCAGCAGCTATTAGCGGCTGTGCTGACGTTGCTGGTTGCCTCGGTTTCCAAAGATTTAAAAATGGGCTGTGTTTGCTACGGAGAACCCTACTACATTATGAGATTGCGAAACTCCAAGGATGGTGTCATTCTATTATTTTCCAAAATCATGGAAAGCTTTAGAAAAAGTAGTGTTGAGGTGACACACAAGTCACCAGCTAGATCACATACAGATCTGAAACATCCCCCTTGCTCCCTGAAGTCTGTTCGTGCATTTGTCAGTGATGTTCATCCTGCTTGGAACGTGTCTTTGGGTGCATATATCCAGATCCAGCACACCCAGCAGGACTTGGCATGAATCCACTTTGTCCCTCCTCAGGACACAGGATGCGGTCTTCCTGCTGTAAACCATTCACATAGATGACGTACTGGTGATTCAAACTCTCCATGTACTAATTGTACCCAGTATTTCCTTCTCAAAACCTACCCCGTCTGCAGTGTTCTTATTCTCTGGACACAGCACCAGCACGCGATATTAGAAATGTCAGGATATGCCAGTCTCTTAATGGTGCTAACATATCTCTGGGGAGATGGCAAGTTGAAGGTAATTCACTCACCAGAATTCTCAGGGAGGGGACTGTGTGTTGTGAGAAGAGACATTTTCAGGAAACAACTTTGGTAGAGAGGGGAACAGGTGAGGGACACGGCATTCTAGGATAACAGTGAATTATTGCTAAATTTCTTCTCCCCGGTGGGTGTCAGGGTAATTGCATAGCTTTTGGGTTGCTGAATGAACTATATGTAAGAGTTTGGGACTAGAACTCGATTGCTCTGGGTTGTAGAGGTGAGAGGGGCTTTCTTCCTCATAACCTTCAGCCTCTAGTCTAAATAAATGTTAACCAGATATTTAAAAAGATCTCGGATGTCTTAAACTCAAATCTCTCAGAGTCCAGGAATGTACCATAATTAAGTAAAGCTGATTGTGAAGTCATATTTGTAATTTGGTCT